CAAATATGTTGTCAGCAAATCTAATTTATCTGGTTGGGAGGGTTGATCAGACACCAGATTTCTTTTGCAAAATATGAGTCAAGAATAAGTTAACCAGTGGAAGAAAACCCTAAAGTCAGTTTTTGATTGCCTCTTAGCCAATAATTTCCTATACATACTGCTTGATGTTTACTTTAAAGTTATTGATTCATGTCTCATTGGATCTTGACACATCCTACATATGTAGGAGATGACCATCGCCTAGGATTTTAGGGTTAACTAAGTATTAGAACCAGGTCTCAATCCCTGGTTGACTGAAACTGGCAAGTAGGGAGCGCATGGGCATATTATATCACCAAGGTTTTAATGTTTGAGAAGTGTAAGGGAAAATGAGAAAAGTTTCCAAGAATAGCAGAGCCATTCTTGGTTCTATGTCTCACAGCCAGCATTCTACAAATTAGCAAGTTACATGAAGTTCACCTTCGTTTCTTCTGTTTTCAAAAGTTTGATGCTTTTTACAATTTAGAACCATCTCAAGGCAGTTTTATACATACCTCTATTAAGTAAAATGTACTAGGGTATTTTGATACTTATTAAGTCCACCGTTTGTAATCCTTGTGGCAACAAGAAAGCTCCCACGAATCCTCTTGTATTGCAACCGTGCTAAACACTTCCAACAATGCAATCCTTGGTCAGCCTGAAAGATAAAGACAGAGCTGAGGGAACTGGTACTTAGTAAAGTTGAAAAACCTGACCTAGATTAGACTGCTGTGATCAGAGCTGGGATTCCAGCTCAGCTGTATTTTTCTCCGAAGTCAGTATGTGTGGCAGTTGTGCTTCGAGAATTGAGAGCAGGGGAGAGGGACAAAAACCTGGTTATTATGTGTGCCTTTCACAGCCCTATTCCTCCACAGCCAACTCCAGGTGAGAGGATACAACCGAAGACCTGTGGGTTCTCATACACATTATGTGACGTTCATGTTCATCTCAAATCCTAATTTTCCAGGCCTTATTTTCTATTGCTGTTATGACATTAAAAATATAGTGGCTTAATTTTTAAGATATGTTAAAAAATTGTTATCTTAATTTTTAAGATAAATCTGAACCGACACAGATTTGTTATCATAAAACTTCAGCAGATCAGAAGTATGATGTGGATTCAGTGGATTTAAGATCAAGATGTGTCTAGAGGGTGCATTTTTAGAGGCTCTAGAGAAGAATCCATTTCCTGGCCTTTTCAAGCTTCTGGAGGCCACCCCACCTGCTTTGCATTATGGTTCCTTCTTCCATCTTCAAAACCAACAACATGGGCCTGGGTCTCATGTTGCTGTCCCTGACTCTTGCCAGCCTCTCATCTACTTTTAAGAACTCTTGTGATTATTGGTCCCCACCCTGATCATCCAAGATTCTTTTGCCTTTTTTTTTTAAGGTCCCCTGATTAGCACCTAAATTTCATCTGTGACTTTAATTCCCCTTTGCCATGTGACCTAACATCACAGGTTTCAGGTATTAGAATGTGGACAACTTGGGGGTGGCATTCTACTTACCACAGCTTTTGATTCACTAAATGTAGCTTAGTTGTGGGTGGGCTAATCTTAAAATTTTGGAGTTCTCAAACATCTAAGGCCATAGTAAACATGTTTAAAAGTTATAAAATAACGCCAACAATAGAAAAGAATGGAGTGGCAAGTTAAGCCACATGGATGTTAATGTGTTCATGTGTTAACATGTAAAACTTAGTTTATACTTACCTGCTCTTAGTTTTCAATGTGTTTTTTAAAATATATTTTACTGATTATGCTATTACAGTTGTCCCATTCCCCCCCCTCATGTGTTAATGTGTAAAACTTACTTTATACTCATCTGCTCTTAGTTTTTCATCTTTTTAAAAATATATTTATGCTATTACAGTTGTCCCATCTCCCCCCTTCATTCCCCTCTACCCTGCACACCCCCTCCCACCCACATTTTAATGTGTTTTTAAAGAATGATACTAATCAAGTATAAAAGCATTACAAGAGCTTCCTAATGAATCAGATATTATTAAAGCAAATAGTTTACATAATTTTCACACTTCTACCAGTTACACTATTCCCATCTGAGACCCTTCTAAAACAATGGTCAGGTTACTACTTCCTAGTGACTACAAAGGGCAATATAGATTATAATCAACTCTTGACTTTGGTCTCCCAAAGCAAATCACAAAATTGGTTACTGCTTTTAAAAAGGTGCCAAATAACACATTCTTGGATTCCTGTTTCATAAAAAATTTCACTGATTCATGTATAGAGCAAGAGGGTACATAAATAGATGAGCTGAAAAACAGCGGGCCAATAGCTAGACCTGTTTTGAAAACATGAGCGCACTGTGTATTTATAGATGCAGAGCTAAATCACTGGAGGAAACCCAGGATACACACTTAAGAGGCAGTGAATCCAATATAATTCCCAAGATCCCCAAATACCTTTACGGGGTTTTTCGAGGAACTTAAATCTTTAAAAGGAATCTTTAAAGGATAAATATTGCCACCCCCTGGGTTAGATACTTCAACTCAATTTAAAGTGTTAAATATAACACTTTCAGAAGCATCATAACAGTAACATTATCTTACAGGTCTTTATTCATTGTTATTTAGTGCTGGAAAAGCATCTCACGTAAGTCTTAACACCACTGCTAGTGTAGCAAAAACAAAGTGATAACTGACCACTTGGAATTTTGGATTTTAGGGTTAAAGAAGATTCACTAAGGCATTTTGACTTAATAGAATGTCACGGTGTAGGCTTTCAGTTATTTCATTTTGGGCCTACTTGGCAGGCATTTGCTAGGTTCTTGGAATTCAGTGGTGAGCAATGCCATTAGCCTGTAAGTTCTGGAGTTGCAGTGTGATGTAAAAGACAAATGATCACACTGTCATTGTGCAGCTGTGAGAAGCAGCTTTTAAGCATCAATTCTCAAAACGTATCAGCACTACTTTACACTCAATACAGAACTCGAAAGAGCTTTTGTTTTTATGGGTTATATCAGATTGTTAGGAATAGAAATGCTAGACTTAAAAAATATTCATTTGTTTAAAGATAATCCTATTATGTTAATAGAACTTTTTAAATGGAAAGTAACCAAATTGGTTTAGTAAGAAAGTCGTCATTTTTGCACATCTAAGTGTGAATTAAGAGAGCTGGGTTCTCATTTGCTTCTACATTCAGTGTTTTGTAATGTGCCATTTTGTTTGAAGTATACGAAGAAAATCTGGCTTTTCCACGGATTTGTTGGGAAAAGAAGTACTCTACATCCCCTCTAAAGATCCTTGGACTCCACTTTGGGAAGCCTTGCTCTAAAGAAAGGCAAAGGCATGCTATTCTGAGAGAACGTGGCGTAATATGACGGGCGCATTTTAGGCAGTTTCCTTGAAGCTTTTGTAGCCTTCCATAGAACAACTTTCTTGCCTTTGTACATAAAATATATCTTTAAAAGTTAGATTTCGGTTATCAAGGAGTTTTTTTTTGTTTTTTTTTTTAGAGAAGTTACCTTTATGATCCCAATATGTCCAAAATTAAAGGAAGTAGTATGGACTAAAACAAATTCAGGTCAAACCTTTTCAGAAAAGACTGGACAGGGATGTCTTGTAGAATTGTGATTTCTGTTACACAAAAAACCCTTTTGATCAATGTATAGACATTCTGGAATTCCACTTTATATTTTGTTCACATACTTTCAGTGCTAATAGGAATTGTATGTCTGCTACCAATGGTGCCAAAATTCTCAACTTCCGTTCTAGGGCTTTCCAAGAATGTTGCTTTCTGACTGCAACTGAATCGCAAAAATAAGGCTGATTTTGGGGGGTAAAATTCTTCAAATGACAAATTGCTTATCTAGTTTCTTTGTATAGACTATAGAGCCTGTGAAGGCAGAGTTTGCATAAGAATTTCACTGTTCACCAGCCCTCGTTTTGAAGTCTTTATTTCCTTTTAAACTTTACATGCTGTTTATTACTAAGTTTTATTTTCCCTCCATAGTGCAGTCAGTGCTTTGTACCAGCGATGTGTGGTCAGTTGCTTTCTTGGTGGCAAAATTACTAGAAATACCAAAATGAAAATGCTAAGTGACCACTTCCTCCCAATTTACAGTGGTGGAATGGGGGTGAGTGGTGAAAATACTATTCACTTATATCAGTCTCTGGTATTGGGTAGAACGGATTTTCTCAAGTTACACTTTTAACAGTACAAATCATCAGGAAAATAATTTAACATGGCATTGTTTAGAACCTGTTCACTGCCCAATTTTGAGACCTGCAGACATTAAAAGTTAAACATAAATGAAGTTTAATAAATGAAATTTAATTTTAAAATTGTATCAGTTTTATATAGTAAGTACATGGTTTGAAAATAATCCTATATGATTTAATAAATAAAAACTGACAGTATCTGCACTATTCTCTCTAGGGGTAAATAATTCTTTTATATATTTATAAGATATTTGTCTTCATATTTGTAAGTGACATGTATATGCTATTTAAAAATAGTTATAAAATAATATTTATTGATAACTGGAAGACAAGGATTTTACACTCATCATGTAACTTGTTTTCCCTACATTCCACCTTTTCACAAATTTTGGATTAAGTCAGCATTCAAATTTTACAGTTCCAATTGTGAATATTTATAGCTGAGTCATGAATAGAATATTTTCTTTCATAATTTTTATTTTCCTTGTAATAAGTTTAGCTTTTTTATTTACCTTGTGTATAATTAGTTCATTTCCACCTACATTTCATTTCAAAACAATTCACAGATGAAGAAACACTAAATGAAGTAGTAGTGAAAACTTACCAACATACAGATAAATTTTATGTAGGAAAACAACTAGACTCTTTAGCTATATTTATAAGTTTATAAAAAAAGTGTTCATATTTAGACTATTTCAGATAATAGTGAAGAGTTGATTTTCAGTAAACAATGTGCCAAAGAAATAACTACCAAAAGAACTGTATTTTCATATATATTTTGTATAGTATAATAACCACTATTAGTTTGCATAACCTAATTTTCTCCATCTCCAGTGTAAACATTGTACCCTTCTGATTCAATTAACTCAATTTTTTTTGAATCCTGAAAAAACACATCTTTAATTTTACCAACAAAATTTCTTTTAAAAATTTCTTGAGTAACAGTGTTTACCTCACGACCATATTCAAAGCCCCCTAGATAAATAATACCATCATAGTTTAGAGCAACAAATTTTTTTTGTGGATCAATATCCTCAGAGAGGATTAGATTGCCATCTAGGTAGGCCTTAATAAGAGTCTGATTTTGAATTATAGTGATATGGTGCCATGAATTAGAACAGAATGTACCATGGCTATAAATCATAGGTACAGAAATATTTTCTCCTAAGTTAACTGCTATTTTCAAGCTCTGATTGTGGAGACCAATTGCAAGAAAATCATTTTCTTCATTTTGAGCCTTTCCTATCCATATGATTAAGCCTTCTCTTTCAGTAGTACTGAAATTTAAAGATACAATAGTGAACTGAAGGCTTCTTATTCTATAGTGTGGGTCAATGTATTTAATGTAAGAATTACCCATAAATTTTGCAGTTGAAAATGAAGTTTTGTTTTCACAATACCTTCCTGCCCACCCCAAGGCACACAAACAGCCATAAGAGAATGACTGGTCAGGTGTACATAGGGACTGGTGGAGACAAAGATGATTCACACAGTGTACAGGCAGGTCACATGTACGTCCAGTCCAACGTGGCAAACATCTGCAGAAGAAAGTGGTGCCATTAACTATACATTCGCCCTCATTCTGGCAAGCATGGTACCCACAGGCTGTCCCGTCACAGTCGCCTACATTTGAGCCACCTTTCGCTCCTAATTCAGTTAATGGTAATTCTTGGTTATTTATAATGACTTCTCGGACACAACCTTGAAAACCTACAGCTTCGTTTGCTGTTGCCATGGGGTTTACAAGACTTAAGGATGACACGCCTCCAATATAGAAGTCAGTGTTGGTGTCCAGGTAGCTCATTTTAACGTTGGCTTTTTCTGTTACATTTATCCCATCCAGATCCAGGTAGCCTTCTGCACCAACTCTTCCTGCTTTAATCACATGCCAAGTGCTTCCATTAATATTTACTTTTTGGAGAGTTTCTAGAATGATAGTTCTGTCACCAAGGTTGTAGCGAAGTTGAACAGAACCATTTACTAAAGAGATACATAAAAAATCACCTGTTGAGAAAGAAAACCAATTTAGTAACGGTAAAATGTTAGTCCATTAAAAACTTGCTTTTCTGGCCACGTGACTTAAGTTTTCATTTGGGGAAAAAAAGGTAATGGTCTTGGGCATAATTAGAGAATTTTCTTTCCATTTACAGATTGGAGTGTGTGTGTGTACATTCATTCACACATTCTGTATTATTTTGCTGTGGAATTGGCCACATAAGTTTCCCCTAGTCATAAATATTTGAGTGATCTACTGAGTGATGTATTGTACTAAGCTAAAGTGAGGTTTTCCTTTAATAATTTCAGTTTAGGATGAATGTGTAAAAAAAGCAACATCTACCCGAAGCCACTGTTTTGACAGATTGGGAGGTAGGCAAAAGAAATAAACAGTTAATAGTGGGGCTGTGAAAATTTTTTATTGTATTGTGTGTTTCAGCCATGCTCCTGGCATCAAGTTCTGTCTGCAAGTACACAGACCCTTAGTTGAGAGCTCTGCTTGGGTTATTAAAGGTGCCTCAAACCGCAAAGTTCGTATCTCAGTTTGTGAATTTCCTTTCATACACCCGGCCTCTTCCAGTCCTCCCGAACTCAGTCAGTCCCTCCATCCAGTCCTTCAAACCCAAAATTTAAGTGTGACCTTTGGATATAGTCTTCGATCCACACATAACTTGTCAAACATAGTCTCTAATCAAACACATTTATTAGCATTTGGATTCATTGTAAACATCTTGATTCCATCCACTTCTCTCCTGCCACTTTAAATTTACTATCATCTCTAGTATATGATCTATCACCCTTCTTTCAAATTGATTTTCTGGTCTGCATTGAAGCTAAAGTAATTACATCAAAAAACATTCTCATTATTATACTACCCTTAATGGTATTAACTGTTGTCAGACTATGAACTTAAAATCTAAGGTATCAACAAAGTTTCTGTAGGTTCCTGGCCACTCTCTCCAGCTGCGCCTAGTATGTATTCTCTGCCGGTTCCTGCACTCCACTCCAGCAATACTGACCTTGTGAGAATTTCATCCCCTTGTTTCAGAACCTTGTGCATGTTCTCTTTTATTGGAACACTCCATCCCATTCCACCTCATCTAAGTAACTTCTACCGGTCAAATGCCACTTCCTCAGAGAAGTGTTTTTTGGTCAGTTTTTTTTCTAATAATGTTTTAATACATGAGGTTTCTCTCACAATATTTATCTCAATTATATAGTCATGTGTGAAAAAATCTGAACCAGTGACATAGCATGTACATGAAGTTGCAATGAGGCATTCAGAGGAAAAGTTAATGCACTTAATTCTACATGCCTGCAAAAAGAACGTAGCTCTTCAGTGTAAGATTGTTTCAAGAGGGTAGCAAAGTGGTTTACAGTACAAACCCTGAAAGAATCTTCCTCAAAACAGCATTTTCCCTTGCCCCTAACATTCCAGAAACAATAAAAAGTTTGTTCCTTTTCTATCCAGTGAGATTTACTGGCACATGCTACTATGCTTTCCTCTCCCCACTTTTGAAGGGCCCGCCAGCCTCATCTCCCACCTGCAAATAATGTTCTTTCTTCTGTACCCCCTTGCGGTCCACAGCAGATCACTCTAGGGTGTGTGGGAGGCACAGTTGCTGTATGGTCAGGCCTATCATTTCCACCTGAGAAAAGTATAAGACCACACAAAGTATGGTTCTCTTGCTTTAATTTTCTCGTAATTTCTAGAGAATTTATATTTCTCACAAATATAATCTAAATCATCACATCTGTTACTTGATTAATAGCTGCCTCTTTGACTACCTTGTGAGCTTCATGAGAACCGTGGTTGTATCTGATTTGGCCCAACAGTTCATCCCTAGCACAAGCACAGTGCCTAACACATGATGAGACACTCAATGAATATCATTGCATTAAGAAATACTTTCGTATAGTTGTGAGGTTACTTGGTAGTTCTCAAATACTAATTTTATGGCATTAACCCTATAACATATAAATCGGTTTTTAAAAATTCCTCCAAAGAGGAAGAAATTCAATTTATTTCACATTTTCTAACATGAACAACGTTCTAAGCTAAGAGAAGAGAAGCAGTATTACAAACAGCTTACATAAGAAAAGATTAAATACAGATTTAATCATTAAAATTTTTTATACCATAAGAAACTAGAACAATGAAACAATTGATAGTAAGTTTTAAAAATGTATAGCACTTGGAATATGCTTTGTGGCTTGCAAGTGGACACAAAACAATTCTTTTTCATGGCATAATGGAAGAACTTTTGTTACTGTGTCCTATGGCAAACAATCTTACAGTGAAGTGCTACACTGGAATAAAAATTATCTAGCAAATGATTAGGAAAGCTGAGGCTGTAAATCTGTATCTCAGCTCAAATTGCCAACCAGAAGAAAAGAGCAAGGAGAACTGCTTATTTTAACATGGCTTTGCCGGTGCATTCTCCTCTTAAGAAGAATTGACAAGCTCTGACCTATGTGGCTCAGTTGGTTGGGCATCCACCACAGAGCGAAAGCTCACTGATCCCTAGTCAGGGCACCTGCCTACGTTCCGGGTTCAGTTCCAGCTGAGGCATGTGCAGGCAACCGATCGGTGTGTCTCTCCCTTCCTTTCTCCCTTCCCTTCCCCCCTCTCTAAAAATAAATAATTAAAATCTTTTTAAAAATTTGACAATAAAAGGGTGTGTGTGCGTCATTTCCCTCTGTGACCCCAGAAGCTAAAATTGCTCTTAGCTTATTTACAGCTTTCTGTCACACAGACCTTTGGTTTTAGTTGACTAGAAAATAGTGCTGTAGACACAGATTGGCATTAGGGTGTGTGTTTAAAGTTCACCCTTAGAGGAAAGTGAACTTGTAAGTGGAATGAAGATGATATGGGAAAACACTTTGGCTATTCACCATGCTTAACCAGGCGGCAGGCCCACCGTCCCGCCCTCCCTCTCTGGCTGCCCTTGTCCCCACCAAGCATCACAGATCAAAGGAACCTGGTAGAACCTAACACTTGTGATGAGACTACAGACAGTTTATTAAGGGAAGTTTGTACATGTTTTCTCTAAAAATAGAAGCAAAGGTAATATAACATTTTATCTTTTATTGTCAGTTGTTTGAATATGCTTTAACTTTACATTGTAGTTGATTAAGCTTCTTAGCTACGTGTTTGTCTGAGAGGATTGTAACTGTATCAAGATGAACTCAGGCCGGCCGGGTAGCTCAGCTGGTTAGAGTATTGTCTCCATACACCAGCATTTTGGTTATTCCCAGTCAGGACACATGAAAGAATCAACCAATGAATGCATAGATAAATGGGACAACAAATTGGTGACTCTCTCTCAATAAAAATAAATTTTAAATGTTTTATTAAAAAGATGAATTCAACTATGGTTAATTTATGCTTAACGTAATATGGATAATTCTTGTGTCAAAAAACATGTTGTGATATTAAATATTTAGGAGAAATAGATCAACAGGTGCCAAAGTTTTATCTCTTTCCAAAATCAGATCTAAAATTAACTAGGATAATTTTCAAATTATCCTTTTGCTTTAAATTTTACACTATTTGAATTATTCAAATTATTTACCTCTGAAGAGACACAGAAACCTTGTTGATTGAGAATTTGGTTTGGCACATATGAAAATCTAATTGGCCACTGACAATCTAAATTTGTGATTTTTGATATTGTGTATTAAATGTTTGGGAAGTTTTTATTAATAGCTCCTCTTAGCAGAGGATGAGCTAGAAGGCTTGGTTAATGTTTATATCAGACATAGTTTTTAGAGAAGGTACAAAATGTGAGACAGTCACCTCTATTTGTGCAACCCTAAATAAATAAATATATTCCACTTGTTATACTACTTGATTGCTAATAAATAAGTATATACCTTCCATCTGTTAATTACCTTTAAGTTAATCTAAAACTGCAAATGTAGAGCTTAGATTTTCCAATGTTTTAAAGGTTTTATGATTTCCTTACATAAGTATAAAATACAGCACCAGTTATGACACGAAACTAATAAACCTATTTTCAGTTCTCTTTGTAAATAGTGTCTAATGGCTGATAAAAAAAAAACAAACCTTGACTTTCATGAACTGAAATACAGTGCTGTTTAATAACATGGAAAAAATGTGTTCTTGCCTCCTATAAGAGTTAATGTGTATGAGCTTTTAATTGTATAGACATGAACACAGATATGTATCCAGTGCACTGAGTGTTAAGTTACAGTACAACATCCTTGGCCAGAGTCCTGAATATGTCTTGACTTTCTGCCCTTACCATACAAAGGTTAACTTTGAGGGTTTTTTATTCGAGATATATAGATATATATATATATATATATATATATATATATATATATATATATATTAAAACTGATGATATCTTAATGACTAGATTTATAAACAGAAATTTCCTATTCTATTTAGCTAAATAATTCTTCCATTTAGCATTTTCATAGGGAGATTTAAATTAATCATGAATTTAAAACCAAATGTCAAATCTCAGGAGAACGATTCTTTTCTAAGATATTTTATGGCTCAATTATGTTATCTTCCTTCTTTGAAATCACCATCTTTTCTCCTTGAATTTATTTTGAAGGCATTTCACCAGTGGACTGAGATAAAACCACTTTGGTCTAATTCTCTGATATTAGCTTGTAGCAACATATTAAGACACCTTTAAAAGACTTACTTAGGTTAGACTGTGAAAATAAGGGCACAATATTTGTTGACTTTGAGAAACAAACCAAATTAATTATTTTTTAATACTAAAATTCTGTTTTCTGAGAAACAAAAGAAAAACCTCAATGTAAAAATTTTAAAATATTTTGCAGTAAAAATGCAACTATGCAAATGCCTCTGTCAAAGTTTTAGAGAAATATATGAAAATGGAAATAAAGGACAAAGTAATAAAAACTCAAATCTCAATTTTGGGTACAACATAGTACTTGGATATTTTTATTCAAAATTGTTTCACAATAATTATGCAATTTTATGGTTCAAATAATTTTTATAAACTTATTTTGGGATGTGGATCCTAGGCTTTTACCATTTAGAAGACAGAGCTACTTAAAGAAAAATTTTAGGACTTCTGGCCAAGATGGAGGCGTAGGTGGAAATACTGTGCCTCCTCACACAACCAAATTTAAGGACAACAAAGATTTAGAAACAAAAACACAACCAGAACAGACAGAAAGTTGAACTGTACCAAAGTCCAACAACAATGAACCATTCATCCAGACTGGTAAGAGGGGCAGAGTCATCGGCCAGCAGTGAGGGGTCGGCAGAAAAAGGCGGTGGTTGGTGACCCAGGTGCAGAAAGGAAAGGTGCAAACCCAGGGAGGCATGCAAGGCAGCTGGCTGACTGTAGACACACATTTGCACGCAGATAAACCAGGCAAAAAACGGGCAGTGAGACAGATCGCACAACCCAGGGCCCCAGCGATGGGAAATAAAGACTAAAAGCACCGATTGAAAAAACTTGTGGGGGTTGAGTTGCCTGGAGAGACTCCCAGCCTCACAAGAGAGTTCATGGGAGAGACCCACAGGGTCCTGGAATGTACACAAGCCCACCCACCCAGGGACCAGCACCAGAAGGGCCCAATTTGCTTGTGGGAAGCAGCAGAGGGGACTGAAATCCGAGTGGAACAAACGTCATTACTCCCTTCTGACCCTGCCCCCACATACAGCATCACAACCCAGCAATGTGGATTGTCCCACCCTGGTGAACATCTAAGTCTCTGCCCCTCATATATAACAGGCGTGACCAGACCAAAAAATTATGGCTCAAACAGAAGAACAAATCAAAGTCCCAGGGCCAATACTTCTAAGCAACCAAGAAATAGCCAACCTATCAGATGCACAGTTCAAAACACTGGTGATCAGGATACTCACAAAAGTAGTTAATTTTAGTCACAAATTAGATGAAAAAAATGAAGACTATGCTAAGTGAAATGAATCAAAATGGACAGGGAACCAATAGTGTTGGAAAGGAAACTGGGACTCAAATCAATGGAGTGGACCAGAAAAAAGAAAGAAACAACCAAAGAGAAAAGAAGAAAGAAACAAGAATTCAAAAAAATGAGGAGAGGCTTAGGAACCTCTAGGACATCTTTAAATGTTTCAACATCCGAATTATAGGGGTACCAGAAGGGGAAGAGGAACACCCATGAGTGGAACACTTATTTGAACAAATAATAAAGGAGAACTTCTCCAATCTGGCAAAGGAAATAGACTTCCAGGACGTCCAAGAAGCTCAGAGAGTTCCAAAGAAGTTGTACCCAAGGAGGAACACATCAAAGCACTTCATAATTGCATTACCCAAGATTAAAATGAAGGAGAGAATTCTAGAAGCAAGAGATAAAGGGACAGTCACCTACAAAGGAGTTCCCATCAGACTGTCAGTGGATTTCTCAAAAGAGACTTTACAGGCAAGAAGGGGCTGGGAAGAAGTATTCCAAGTCATGAAAGGCAAGGACCTACATCCAAGACTGCTCTATCCAGGAAAGCTTTCATTTAGAATACAAAGGCAGATGAAGCACTTCTCAGACAAGGTCAAGTTCAAGAAGTTCATCATCACCAAGCTCTTATTATATGAAATGTTAAAGGGCCTTACCTAAGAAAAAGAAGGTAAAAAATATGAACAGTGAGAGGACAGCAAACTCACAGTTATTAACAACCACACCTAAAACAAAAGCAAACTAAGCAGACAGCTAGATCAGGAGTGGAGCCACAGAAAGGGAGATCACATGGAGGGTTAGCAACAGGGGGGTGGGAGGAAGAGAAAAGGGGAGAAGGTACAGAGACTAAATAGCATAGACAGTGGGTATAAAATAGACAGGGGGAGGGCAAGAGTAGTGTGGAAAATGTAGAAGCTAAAGAACTTATGATACATGGACATGAACTAAAGGTGGGGAATGTTGGGGGAGGGGGTGTGCAGGGTGGAGGGGAATGAAGGGGGGAAATGGGACAACTGTAATGGCATAATCAATAAAATATATTTTAAAAAGAGGAAAAATTTTAGGAGCCGTAAATGTGGATGGATTTCCTAGAAATATAACAGCCAGGTCTTCCTTTTTGAAATCTTTTATATGCATATTTTGTTCCTTTGACATAGACTACCAGGCATGGCTTCAACCTTTTTTTGACAGGATTATTATAAAGGTGACATTAACTATATTTGGATTTTGCTAACGTTATTTCTAATAAAGCTATTGCTATTTTATTAACATTTATATTTAGGGAGTCAATTCATAAACATAACACTTGCAGTAACAATAGAACATGAAAGTATCAAGTGTTTACATATTTATAGGCTAGTAGGTGATTTAAAAAATAAAATATTTCATCACATATCACTTAATAAACTTTCAGGACTTCATTTGGATTTTTTTGCTTGCACACAAAAATTCTTCCATCTTTACCTGATTGTGCTTGTAATTGTTGTGCAACATAAAATAGAATTCCATCTGTAGAAAAAGGCTGGAACTGCATTTGAATATGTGTCTTCTTTCGAATATGAAAGGAAGCAAAAGACATCCAGGATAATTCATGGCTTCTGAAAGATGGATCACTTATAGATAGAGCTAAAACACAAAACAAAAACCCGAGTTTCAAAAACAACAGTGCTCATAAATGCGATAAATTCAAGATTTTGCCACTTACCTTATCTTCCAAGGATTGTCCCCAGCTGTATATACAATGAACCTTGGTAGCTCTTCTAATCCCACTAACAGGAGGCTTTTTGTGATGGGGCCAGTCCCTGAAAAAACCTTCCACTACTTCTGGGAACTATGTTCCTATCGCTGGTGCTCTGTGACGCAGACTCCACTCTAGATTGGATTATAGACAGGCATTTGATGCATGTGTTCTGAGAATGTATTATTCTTACCTCAAGAATGTGAGCTTCTTGGAATGTCTTACATTAATAATGCTTTAAAAAAAGATGATTCAAATAGTGGAACATAGAAGGCATCACTACATGAATTATTGTTTAGTTTCTATAGTCCTGGTTAAAATATAGAGTGCAATCAAGATGCATTTTAGTGATTCTGTAAGTGGAAATATTAGTTTACTTGACAGTAATTTAGGCCCATAACTCTTCAGAAAGTGCTAACTGTTGGGTTTTACTTCATGGTAAGCATGAGAAGATTAATTTCAATATGAATTGAAGTCAAGTCATTATACTGAGTTATAGTCCATGACATATTAATTATTGCTTCTGACTACAACAGACCAGATGGGAAATTCGGAGAGGAATAAAGGAAGTTCTGAGCTTTTGGCAGTTTTTGTCATTTTGTCACGTGACAGTGCTTCTTCGAGTGTGCCCTGGTTCACCCTGTGCTTTGAGCCATTCATCCGTTTGCTTGGCCTTTCCTCCCTTTGGACCAGCCTGTACCAACCATTGTCTTTCACTTTTAGATTGATAGGCAACTGGTGGGTGTTTGTTTATCTAGGAGATGCTGGCATTTGCTGACTTTTAAGCAAACACATCATTAATTTGATGACTGCAATTTAGAATAGTAGAGATTAAAATCACATGGTATAGTTGCCAAGAAGCAAAGTCCTGCCCCTCACTCCCGGAGGGCCTGATTCATGAGAGCTGACAGGAGGAATAGGAAGTGTATTTTTCGTAAACACCCTAGTGTTTCTGACATGAGTGTTGCCCAGACCACATGTTCCTAACACTGAATTAAAGTTTATTTTAAGACTACAGAGATGGTTTAAAAAGTAGTCATCCTTATGAAACTGTTCTTATAAGAATTAGTAAAGTAATACATATTCATTGTAAGACATTTAAACAATATAGAAGAGTGTAAAGACAAAAAGATTAAATTTTTAAATAATTTATTTTTTATTGTATCTTTCCCATTACCATTTATCCCCCTTGTACCCTCCTCCACCTTCACCCACCCCCCTAAAAAGGTAAAATTTCATTTTCCTTTTCTCAATTCCCAGGACCCAACATTAATACTTATCATTGAATGTATAGCCAGACTTGGGTTTTCAATGCACATACAATCACTGTGTGTGCATATCTAGTAGTATCTGATTTATGTCACATAAATGAAACCATATTATATATGAACTATGCATAGTATACCTCTTTTGCTCAATGGTTTATCTTCATGAAACTTTGATGTTAGCATATTTTGCCCATTGTTTCAATGTAGAGATGATACCTTTCGTTGCTGAAGTATGATGATTTTGTACATTGAAATGTTACAACTTGAGACAAATAGTGATAGTTCTGATGCTTTTCAGATGTGAGTGGGTCTGCCTGTGGAGACAGGGAGAAGCTACACTGAGGACTTCAAAGGACCCTGATTCAGTAAGTCATCTCTATAGTCACTAAACCAGCTGCAGGACATTTCTGCTATTGTCCACTTTGAGACAGAATTTGGGAAAAGTCCAGGTTTTCCAGTGACTCACAAAGTCATTCTGACCACGAATCATCTTTAGAAGACTTCGCTAATCAACGTAGGTTAATTAAGACAACACCAACACCTCTTTTCTTGGACAACTGATCTATTGGGTTCTGGCCAACAGCCTCAGGGCTGGTCAGTGTGAAAGGCAGTTCCCAAAGGGATCATTTTTTCAGAGGAATTACAGGTAATAATTCACGTAAGTTTCCCTCATGACCTCACTTTTAGGACCTTATTTATTATAAATAGGACGCCAGAGAAAGTACTTATATTTATATTTACCGCTGTTTCACAGTGGTGGCATTGACTGAAGCTGGGCCAGCACGATCTGATGAAAAATAAAGTAGAATGGCTGGTTCACGAGGTGGAAACACTTGGGCTTCAATGATCTACCGTCTGATTTAGGGAATCCACAGATTTCTAAAACCACAGTGTTTTGAGTAAATACAGGGGTGGAACAGAAGTAGATTTATCTTTGCAAATCTGTGAAACAGACTTTAATTTATTCTTTTCTGTAAGCCTCCTTTTGTCCAACCTGTATATCTCTTCAAAATACTTAAGAATAGGTGATATGGGACATCAGGAGAAGGTATTTTTAGCATGAGCAAAGGTTGCATCAGGAAGAGCAACAGGTTGGCATGTTGTCAAAGATCACAGGAAAAAATGTGAGGGCTTGTGATGGTTTATTGGAAAGACTGGACGTGGCAGGAGGCACTCAGGATGTAGCTTGATTTTCCCCCCTGTGATGGCCCTTTAGACGTGTTCTGTGAGATCTTTCCTTCTCCTTCCTGGGGATATCTCAGGCAGCTTCCTAAGCTTTTTGATCATCTTCAAGCCTCAGTGAAATGGTATCATTTTCAGGTACTAAGAAATCCCATTCGATTTGAATCAAAACCCCAATCTCTTGCCTAATTCGAAGCTTCTATTCTCTCCATAGCTCAGATCTCACCTGAGCCTGGAAAACACAGTTGGGAGGAGAGGTGTGTTTTTGTGATTTGTACTAATAATCCTTGCTGTCCTTTATCTTGCTGCTTGCTTCACTGCTTTTAGCTTTTCCGAGATGACACTGGGGATCAGTGATAAGAAGATCATGGGAGCGCGTTTTCAGTCTGCTGCTATCTGTCGTCTATCAGCTGACTAATGTCCTCTGTCATGGCAGACAGTCTTTCAATCTTTCAGTGTCCTTCAGCTCTCCACTGGTGCCTCTGTCCTGCAACTCCTGGCAAAGCTGATGCACTTTGGCAGACTTTACATGGATTCCACTCAGCTTTTGCTCCTGTGAGATGCTTCCAGCCTCTTTCTGCTTGAGACAACTTACCTTGTTGGGTAAGGTTCTTTCAAAGTGACACATGCTTGCTCTCCTTAGTTGTGCCACGTGCTTCTTGCCTTGTCCTCAGTGGAAGGGCACCTCCCGCCACTCCTCCACCCCCCTAGCTATCCTGCCTCTAGTCCTGCCATTAGAGAAAGCTCCAGCTACCTTCTGTCTTCAGGCTACGTGGAGTAGGGTTCAGGCACTGGTTTTAAGTCTTCCTTCACTCCCAGGGTTATGGATCTGGTTTTCCTGAGTTCTCTTTTAACTCCCATCCTCCATCTCTGTTTCCACAGTCAATGTCACTCAGCAAAAATGGACAACTCAGAGAGAAATGCTAGCTTTCCCTCTGACAAGGGCTCCTATCTTCTGAGTACTTTCTGGTGCCTTTCTCGCTTGCTTTTTGGGGATATCCCATTGGTCCTTCCTACAGCCAACATTCCTCATCATAAAAGTTCCTTTTTCTGAGCCAGCTTTGTCTCTCTGGTAGGTTGGGAATGAGCGCTGTGCCAGGAGTGTCATATTTACACAGATTTAATATGGATTGTCTGTCTCCTCTTGTCAGTCAGCTTAATGCCCTGTGATCTTTCCGAGTTGTCTGTGTCAATGGTTTGTCCCTTTTTATTTCTGTGTACTATTCCATGGATATATCAGTGTGTTTGACCACTCATCTATTGAAGGACATTGGGGTTGTTTGCAGTTTGAGGCTATTACAATAAAGTTACTATGAGCATTCATGTACATACTTTTGTGTAGACATATTTTCATTTCTTTGATGTAAATATCCAGGAGTGTGACTGTGGGATGGTATGGTTGTTATGTTTAGTTTTATAAGAAACTGCCAAATTATTTTCTAGAGTGGTTGACCATTTTACATTCTTAGCAGCAGTGTGAGAGATTTGGTTTTCTACAGCATTTGGTAATGCTGGTGTTTTTTTTTTAATTTTAATTTTTTCCCCAGTAGGTGTGTAGTGATTCCTCATCATCCATAAAGTTTTTTAGACTCATGGGGCTGTAGGACAGGAGTTGTTCTCAGCTTCGGGACCTCAGCAGAAACCAATAGACAACAGGACAGGTCAAACATAATACCTCATCACACAGTGATTCACAGAACCCTTGGCTCAATACAGGCTAAGTTTTTTTCCAGGAAGGAATAGGATATCAGTTGGTACTCAAATGCAGTTTAGCAAGAGTATTTGCTTGAACCTGAGGTTTATTTTCTGATGGGTTTCCTATCGGTTGGGTGTGTCTGGTGAAATGGGAGAGTGTCTCCAGAAATCCATCAGTGTAAGAGACCGAGAAACTTCCTAGATTCTGTCTCTCAAAGCAAAAGCCAGGCAGACAAGTTTGCTTAGTAACCAAGCCTCTAATTGTCTGATGGAAGAGCAGGACAGACTTGTGGGCTGTACGGTGTTTGACAATTGGATCGGTCGCTAGTTTTATACCTGCATATACCCAAATTCATCATAGGAAAGCAGAAGAGGCTGCAATTGAACAAGTATGAAAGACACAGGGATGAGGACTAGGGGGGGAAGAAATGGGAGGGAGGTGGGGAGCACAGGGTGGGGGGGGCTGGGATGGGAGAAATAGACAAAAAATGTACTTGAAAAATAACTAAATAAAGTTAAAAAGAAGAAAATGTTAGAAGAGTCGTTTTTACTCAAAATTCTGAAAGACATTGAGGTTTAAAGAAGTACCCTGACTAAATACTCTCGAAACCATGCACAATATAAAAAGGAAAGGACGACATCTCTATACTCCTGTAAAAAATCTGCAGTCAAACTCTGGCACCTTGACATCAGCAGCAGTGGTGGGTGAGGCCCTGAGCAGCCGGTTGGGCTGCCTGGTGGTG